CCAGATTTCAATTTCCTTTTTCTCCAGCGCCAAACCATGTGATGACCAATGGAGATTCTATTGGAACAAGCGATGCAGCTTCCACTCGACCACTTTCCCATCTGCAATTTAATCCGTCCAGATTTGACCGACTCCGCCAGATTACAATTGACTGTCAAAAGAATTTTCTCCCTCAACCTAAACCTAACGGCAGCAAGATACTTCGATGTAAAGGACCTGCAAAGGAACCGAACCCGGAGTTACACTCGTCGAACGATGCAAACAGCCCAAGCCCTGATCTTATTATATCGTCCGCTGGCTCATCACCGGCTCATTCGCCCAAACCATTAGATTTCAAAATGTTGTCTACGCCCCCGCGGTCGAGTAAACTGGGAGATACGAATCTTCCGATTCTTGAAAACACTTCAGAACTAAGCTCCTCTGATCGCCAAAAGGCGTGTGTCAGACTTGTGGCGAAATTAGACGAATCTTCAAGTAACAAGCTTTTTAATGGAGTCACCACGGATGCTAGGACTGTAAATCAGGATTCCTTGGTGGAAGTTTTGGAAGAAGGCGATCAAACGTGCCCTTTAAACCCTGGCGCTAAGCCTGTCCATGTGAATGGGGAAATCAATTTGTTAGAAGGGAACAAAGGGCCAGCGGATAATGATAAAACTACTGTGAAGGATCGAAATTCACCGTCTTTTTCAGACCTGGCTCCCAGTGCTAACGCAGAGGAAACTACAAAGGACTTCAATTTTAATTCAGACGAATTCAGACAAGTAAGCTTTTCGCTGTTTTTTTTTTTTTCCGTTTTGTTAGTGCTTCTAATTTGTCAGACTGCTACCCTTCAGAATAAGATCATGCTTTACGTACACGGAAAGTTGAGTTAAAACACTTACCAGTCGCCATACTTTTCACTAATTTTCGCTCCAATTATTTTGTTTTGATTCAAATAGTTTTCTATCTTCTCATCAATTTCTGTTTTGCCACCCTTGGTGAATTATCTGAGAGACTTCTCTTCAATTACAAAATTTTTTTTTTTTACAGCTGAAGATGATTCGAAATGTTGTCAGGAAACGCCTTTTAAACCTGTTGAATTTGAACCAATTATTCCCAAAGATCTGAAGCTTAATTGTCCCTTCCAGCAACTATTCACTCTCTTCCAAAGTGGTTAAAAAAAATCTGAGTTACATGAAAATAACGCTAACAATAACCCACCCTGATATGAAGGCCTTATGTCATCAACTGTCGGATGATTGCAGCCAGAAGTTGTATGTTGATCGGGAAAATTAGAGGGATTAATATAACTCCAAGGGTAGGTTTATCGAATTCCGAACATTGGGTTGGAAGTAAATAAGATACGGCCGCGCCAGCGAGAACATGGACAATTGAAAAGTTTTCACCAACTGCCTGAATTTTAAAACTGAGTTCGTTGAAGTCTTAATTACATTCACATGCAGCTTCTATCTTGAACTAATCTTCACGTATCTTAGATGGTCAAGAAAATGATCCAAGAGAGGATGAGTCAAATCCAGCAGTCAATGGATGATGGCAGCCCGAACGACAAGCTCTCCGTTAGGCTAGCTGCACTTGAGAAGGAGAACAAAGCATTGAAAGAGTACGCAAAGAGAGTAGAAGATTCTGTAAAAACGATTTTAAAAGCTGAGAGCTTAAAAGCAAAGAAACGAGAAACTAAAGCTGTTCAAACCCAAGATCTTAACTGGGTAAGTAAATTTCCTTAGGCCAGTAACAAGGTAGTCTCCTTCTCGGCCGTTGTTTATTCTCGTCACGCAACACGGAGAGAGCGCATTGCGTGACAAGACCAAACAACGACTGCGAAGGAGACTAGCAGCAAGGAAGGAAGAAATGGGCGGTTTTGAAAACATTGTTCAGAAACAAAAATTTTTGTGGGTTTGTTTATTTTGATATTTTGTTTCAGCAAAAGTATAAAACAAGTAGTCCACAGTGACATACTAGGCAGAACACCCTAGACGTTCAGTGGACTCATTCTTTATTTAATCGTTGGAATCAACAAACGTTAAGTATTACATGTCTTGTCCTTTACCAGTGACTGTCAATTGCTTATCGTTTTGTAGATGAACGCTCTGCGCACGAAGACTGTGAACGCACCATCTCCCCCAGCGAGTTTAACAGCTTCCAGGCCCTCAAATGCTAGTGTCAATGTTATGACTACACCAACACCACGGCTCACCTCCACCGTAGCACCTTTGCCTGGTCACACAGTACCGCAATCAGCTCCCGTTAACTATCGCCCTGCGACTCAGAGGCAGTCGGAGCCTGTGCGTCCTCGTATCCCTGTTGCGTCAAACGTCTCGCCTCGTCCACAAGCACCTATCGCGTCGGGAGCCAATTACGTCCCTGGGCCAGCGCTCAGACCCACACCCACTCAGGCGGCAGTGCCAAGGGGTCCTGCTCCACCTGTGCGCCACTTCTCTTCGGGTCAGTCAGGGTTTAATGGCGTAAGAGCCCCTCCTCCGCCAAGTGTTCAGCCACCAAGGCCGATGATGAGGATACAGCGACCCATCACTAGCCTTCCTGGACCACGTAGCGTTGCTCCAACTCCTTCCCGCCCGTTGCCTACGGTGACGGTTCATCCGCAAACTCCATCTAGTTCCACATCTGTCCGGGGTCCACATGAGTTGCCTTCGTATGGTTACAACACACAAAACGCTTATCATAACGGGCAGCATAGCCCAAGATTTCCTGTGGCTCCACAGATGAGAGCTCAAGCACCCCAGCCTCCTCAGGGTGCCCCCCCTCAAGTCTCACAAGTACCTAGACCCGCTTATCCGCAGTCCCCTATTCAAGCGTCGCAGCCTCAACATATGATGCAACAACCTCATCGTCAAGAACAACAACACCCTCAACGAAACCTCCCTCCAGTCTTGGTAAGACAGAATACACCGGTGCAAATGCAGTCTCCTCCCCATGCGGTAAACCAGCAAGCTTCACCTCACTCTCAACAGCCCGGTATGGGGCATTATCAACAAGTGGTTGGACCTCCAAGACAAGTTGCTCCACCTCAACCTTCAGTTCCCCAGCAAAGCTATGCACAAGTACCTATAGGACCCCAACAGCCTGCCCAACAGGGTCTACCGCCGGGTTCAGGGCAACATCCCCCTGTATCTCCAGCAACAGAAGCTAAAGACCCCCCTCCGAAACCTAATGTCTCCATAGCGGTGGCTCCAAGCGGTATCGTTTTGTCGTGGTACATGGCTCTTGAGGAGAGACACGCGCCTATAATGAACTATCAACTGTTTGCCCTTCAGGACGGCGGAACAACGGAGAACCCTCATCAGTGGAAGAAGATTGGAGTCGTCAAGGCGTTGCCGCTTCCTATGGCTTGCACTCTGACTCAGTTTTCACCTGGCAATAAGTACCACTTCTTGGTACGTGCTACTGATGTTAATGGACGACAGGGTGAGTGCAGTGAGGCCTGCACTATTACGCTCAAGTGAATCATCTTAGGCAAAAACAGAAACTGTTTTGTACAGCTCATTATCAGCACTAATGGTACTTACATATAAGAAACTTAGTGTGGAGTCTTCAAGTTAAATTTATACCCCAAGAATACAACGGCAATCAATGATAGACAATCTGTACAGTACTGAACTTGGAGTATTTGTGAATCGAAATTTAATATATGTATTCCTTGCCGTTGTTATACGCCGCTGAAGCCAAACCATATTTATATCTTTTACTTCTCGAGGAAAGAATCGCGATCTCAGATGCGTGAAATTTGTTTTATTACGCTAAGGATATGAATTAATTGATTTTCTACAGTATTGATAGTTACTGATTTGTAGATTTTGTTTGCTTTTAGAAATAAGAGATTTTAAGAATATGTTGCCATCGTTTTTTTTTGTTTTTTTTTTGTTGTCATATAGTGACGGGTAGAACGAGCGTTTAACTATCGATCAACCCTTTTGGTGTGTTATTTTCAACAACAGGGGATCATTATGAGATGGTTTGGGTGTTGGGATTTTAAACTCGAACGCTTAAATCCTTAGGCTGGATGGGAAATCGCGATCTCAACCTCTTTCCCAGTCCTTTCCAGCATGAACCTTCAGGGAAAACGGATAAAACCCTGGAGAAGAGGCCCCCTTTTTTTTTTTTTTTTTTTTTTTTTTTTTTTTTTTTTTTCAAGTCATAGAAAGCTCCCCCGAACTTCGTTTGAGTTGAATGAAATCTTTCAGTTCTTCTGTTCGTGAACATCTAACTTGCAGTACTTTCTTTTTTTGTCTAATTTTGTCTAATTACCTCTATTTTGCCTTTCTCTAATGACTATGTTAACTGGGTCTGCAAAGAAACTTTGGCCTCTTTTACGCATAGTTTTAAGAATCCTTGAGGAAATGTGCTTTTTGTATGTACGTACTTCCAGCATCGATAGCTACAATTGGTGTTGCACTTGTTACATATTCGTGGGCTATTAAATTACTACGATATAACGATATGCTTAGAAGTTCAGGGGAATTGCGAAAGCTTCGTTTTACTAGCAATATTTTATGATGTTTATTTTGAAGAAAGTAAAAGCCTTTTTGACTAGCACGGTTTTAAACCAGACCACAAGTAAATAACAGTTTTTGAAACATGGAGTTGGCCTGTAACTTCATGGTTTGCTTTTGATCGCTTCACTTTGTTTTGGTCTCTTGGTGTCTTGAAACAGGATTAGACATGATGGCCCGTTTGTAATGTGTGACATCTGTTCGTGGGGTGCTAATGGAACATCACTATTGGAAGGAAAGGTTTCATATTTTACCTCTAGTTTAAAACTTAGTGCTAGACTAAATTATGTGTCAATTTATTCTTATTCTGACAATATATCAATGGATTTCAGTCACCTTCGCGGCTGTTTTTTGGTTGTAGCGCTACGCACCACTAGGCGTTGCATGACAACTTGAGTTTCCGTTGCAAATTATTTGAAGGCTACATTGATTAGTGCCCAGTTCTCTTCGTCGTGTTTCTAGCATCCTTGAAGGTGACTGTAGCAGTTTTGCTCAGTTATGCCTTACTTTCATCTCAGAGAATTTTAGGTTAGAATTAGAAGCCCAAGGATGCCAGAATGGACCACCTTTTGCATTGGGATTAACCTCACCACACTGGTTTGCCCACCATCCACCATAAGGAAAACACTTGCCAGAGTAGTTGTCGTTATCTTGGTCTGGTGTGCCGAATTTCATCCCTCGGGTGTTCAGGTTAGGATTTGTCTTCCCATAAAATCCATTTCCGATGTTTCCTTCGTACGAACTCATGTCGCATCGATACTTTTCTGTTTCGTCAGCTACCCGAAACCCACCATATTTGGCATATCCCTTCTGGCCGTTAGTTCGGTGCAGCTCTATCCGAAGAATGCTGTCTGAAGAGGCGATTCGGTGCAAGTTGTCGTTTCCAAGCCAGAATTCTTTGGACAAGTCGCCAAAGCCTACTCGATACTCTACCCACGTTCGTTCAAAGTTTTGCTTGTATGGACGGGAACGTCTCTGAACCACAGTCCACCCACCTCCATCTGTGGTTTGGTCACAGTACACGTTTATGACCCCTTGACCATCTGGGTTGATTTTATAAATGCCATTCTGATTCGCTCCCAGGATTTTCAGCTGCTGGCAGCTTCTCACTGTACGTGGAACAAAGGAAACATAATATGACACTTGTTGCTTTAAGGAAATTATCGCAAATTTAAGTGTTCTTCTCTTCTATTTAGTCACGAGTTACCCACCTCCGCTGTGCTTTTCGCAATTCACTCCTTTATAATCCTGTCGACATTCACACGTGAACATCCGGGGATTCCAACACGCGTCAACACATGTTCCACCATTTTGACATAAAGCCGAGGTGCAAACAGGTCTATTTCCTCCCTGGGAGAAAATGGGAAGAATGGTTAAACGTACTTTCATCCTTTTATAAGGTGAAACTTACCATGACAATACCTTCTTAGGTTGAAATACATTCTCGTTCTTAGAGCTAACGTTTCTCTTTGATGGTGGTCTGTACCCTTAATTCAAGATGAGTATTGAAGTTTGATATTTCCAAAGTTTTGAGTAGGAATTCATCTTTCTCTCTCCTGTTTTCCTTCAAATCGAATTTCGTTTCCGGTGTATATCGACCAACAATTTTGTCTCTATTTTAGCCAATTATATTTACCCGGGATTTCCTTTTAGAAAATGGGCATTTTATGACATCAATTGTGTCAATAACAAAATGCTCGAGCATGAGTGGTTCTCTTATCAATAAAACAGCTCTTATTTGCGGCTTGATTGGCTGTTTCATGTCCAAATTGTTTGATGTCAACTGTTCAGTTATAAGCACTTAGCAAATGTTAGCCAGTCAAAATGGAAAAAATTTCTGAAGTGCATTGAGCATTGGATGTTTTGTAACAATATTTAGACTTACGACCTGAACTTTTGCTATATGAATCAACTGCGCATGTGTAATTTAAAGTTTTCATTCCTGCTCGTAATTCCAAATCATTCTCCCGATTGCTGCCTGAATTGTACTCCCGTCCTACTACATTTCAACTTAATGTGTTTTCGGGCTAGAAATGAAGGTCTTACAAACGCTGCTCTGTGTACATGTTCAGTTTTAGGCAGCCATACCGTTCTCTGAGATAAAGGCATTTATTTGACCTCTCGATATGATTTTGACACCACCTTGCTCAGAAGATGGAATTTGAAAAACCGAAGACCTCAAAGGTTCCTGCGCTTGGCAGGTTGAGCAGTGATGATTAAGTTTCTAACTGATCTGTAAATTTCTATGACTCACCATCTGTGTCGTTGGCTCGTAGTAAGTGACGCCTTTTCTTAAAACAAAGTCATTTGGGGCTGTCGCTTTTGATTGGTCACTTAATTCACATGTTTTCCCTGAGTTTGCATAATTAAACGATCGACAGCGTGCATCCCGTAGGCATTCCCACGTACAGTCTATCGGGCACGTGACAGTGTGCGTAGCAATCACGTGATTAACCAGAGTGTAGCCTGGAACAGATGCAAACATATCGTCATATATGAGAGTTTTCTTCAAGATATATCTTACATAAAACAAAAAGAGAGAAATCAAGAGGACATCGACGACTTGATGAAAGTCGTAAAAATTTATAAGATATTAGGAACACTTTGATTGATCGAAAGCCTATCGTTCATTGTACTAGTAAACTCAGGGCTCCATTTTTAAAAACTAGAAAGGGCACTTTCTATCATTTTTCAGGCGTTGGTGCACTTGGAACGTTGGTAATCATGCACCCTCGGGTCGTGATTTACAACTTTTCCCTGTGTTCTCCTAACATCCCGTGTGAGTTTTTGCGTCTGAAAACCGACAGGAAGTGAAAAGTATTGCTTAGATATTAACATATTTTTACATGGAATTATTTTTCTCATGTTTCGAAAATTACTCAGTCTCAGTTTTCGTAAATTTCCGGCCAGTTCTATCTTAGGCTGTTCGCAACTCTTCGATACACAACAAGCGAATACACAAGGCTTCAAAGTTGTTGGTTCTTAATTCTGGAAACCCCTATAATTAAGATTCCCACTCATCAGACGATTTTATACTTGGTCACCGGTCTTCCTATTCATCCTCATCGTCCTTGTTGGTCATGGTTTACTCTGACTAGTTTGATCGTGTCTGGAACACGTTAACTTGAAGTAGTGCCGTTCGAAGGTGAATAAAATTCCATCATTACTAAAAGTGACCATACAAGTGAAAAGAGTTCATCTCTGAGATTTTCGAGCGAAGTTAACTTTATTCCATTACAGCTACAAGGGAAGCGATACCAGAGAGGAATGCACGACACGAAAAGCCGATTTTGACAGCTTGAAACTAACTCGCGTTAAGAGAAAAATAACTGAATGCTTTGCTAGTTGAAGTGTTTCGACTCGCGACTCGGTATTTAGGTGTTTTTCGCTAAAATACGAAACTGAATTTGCTTGTGTCGTAACTGATGAATTAAAGTCAGCGCATCAGGAATACATTACCTTCAACCCCACTATTTAAATAGCCTCAACAAATCTTCTCGGTTCACATTGGTTCTGCGTCAAGTTTTTTATTCTTTGTGTAGTCTAAGATTTATTTTTGCCATTATTTACGGTGCCCATATTAAGTGTTTAAGTCAAGCTTTACCTTTTTCAGGATGTTCAGATCTTCTTAAACAAGACAACTGACCAGGGTTCGACGTTCCTGTTAGACTTTGAGCTGAGGGAGTTGCAAACTTCCAACACAGGAGAAACTGAGAATGGAAGAGTAAAGTGAGTCGCTGCATTGTTTTCAAGTTACTTCCACTCGGCTTTTGCATTAGTTCACGATCAAGATAAAGTCGTGATAAGGAAGCTTTGACCTCAATTAGTCGCTGGTGCGTCGACTTGAAAATGAATAATTTTCGAGTGAAAATAATTCTTATCCACAGTTTGTATATGTGTTAGGTTCTAGAAACTTAGCAGGAGACTGGCGAATAACATTAATTATTAAAAGCTCAATCAATTTCAAAATTTGACACACTTTTTAAGGATTCTCCTCTATTTCTGTTGAAGAAAGATTAAACGGTTTAAGGGAGGAAATAAGTGAGCATGGACATTGGTTCACTGACTGAACCAGTTCGTGCGCTAATTATAGCCTTCTTTTTCTTTTAAATTGCCATGGAATTAATTAATTTAACAGTTTTCTAGGTTTTTTTGTTTCAGGAGTCTCACGAATAACATTCTTTATTAAAAGCTCGATCAATTTCAAGATTTGACATATTTATTAAGGATTCTCTTTCATTTCTATTGAAGAACGATTGAACAGTATAAGGAAGGAAAATAAGTGAGAATGATTTTCTGAGGAAGACATTGATAGCATTTCACGACATTGGTTCACTGACTGAACCAGTTCTTGCGGTAATTATAGCATTTTTTTCTTTTCAATTGCCATGGAATTAGTTAACTTAACAGTTTTACGGGTTTTGTGGTGCTTTTATCCTGCAAATAATTACCCTTGGGTTCAGTAGTCTAGAAATTAAAACTAGATAATAGTAGAATGTCTAGAATTTAAAACTAGGTAAAGATAGAATTTAAAACCAGACAAAATTTAATAAAAACTGATTGCACCCATACTGAAAAAGAGAGAGACAAAACACGAAGGGTTTGCCCTGTCTGATCTTTATTGTGGGTTTAGTTTACAGCTGTATTAACGACCCTTGAACTCCCAAGATCTGATTGTTAATTCTCCCCTCTAGCTGCTACACATTTCCTTGTAAATAAGTCACGAGAATTTGGTGTAAACTCAAGACTGTTAACTTCTACCCCATGAGTTTGAGTATTGTCATTACATGTTGGCTGGATAACGCGTGAATGTTACAGGGAGAAGTTACATGTTAGTCACTTATGGGAGTTAATGGGTAAAGCATATCGATGTCATATGCGCGTTTATCATTCTCTGAAGAGTTTAAGTCCTGACCTTACTTTGTCTACTTTCAGGAATAACACTTTGGCAATCAGGTAAACATCGTTCAAAACGAAAGCTTAGCGTACAAATTTTCCAAAGAAAAACTTCATATAAATAAAATTCCGCTTTTATTAAAATTTAAAGAAATAGCGTGAGACAGCTCTCGTCTACATGAATTATTAAGTACTTACTAGGCGAGATATACGAATAAATTTGAAGTCCTGATGCGAAAAAGTACTGACCCGCAATGTAAGAATTGTAGAGACTGTATAGAGTATTTATTTTAACCTTTAGACATAAATGTGCGAAGGCGCTAAAGAACGCACGTAACGTGAATTCAAGTCTACTTTAAATTAACATCAAAGCAAGCCAACAGGGGGCCAAAACATGAAGGTCCTTGGGAAACTTCGTTATTGCACGTCTAGTTCCCAGCTCTATTAAGCATACTGAGGTTAAAAGTTAATTTACCTAACTTCTAGGTAAACTAAAAGTAACCTCTTATCAATCTCTGAAGAGTTTAAGTCCTGACCTTACTTTCAGGAATAACACTTAAGCGATCCGGTAAACATCGTTCAAAACGCAAGCTTAGCGTACAAATTTTCAAAAGAAAATCTACATATGAATAAAATTATGCTTTTATTTATTTAAATTTGAAGAAATAACGTGAGTCAGCTCTCGTCTACATAAATTATTAAGAACTTACCAGCCGAGATATACGTATAAATTTTGTCCTAACGCGATCAAACGCTACTGACCCGCAGCGTAAGAATTGCTGAGACTGTATGGGGTATTTATTTTTACCTTAACCTTGAGCTTTGTGCTTCTTCCTGCTTGGATTCAGGAATAACATTATTACGATCGGGCAAATATCGTAACAATACTGACCCGCAACGTACGAATTGCATAGTCTGTAAGGGGTATATTCTGTTTATACATAAATACGCCAACGCGCTCAAGAACGCTCAACCTCAATTTGAATCCTTGTAAAAAAAAACCACTGATTGCTTCCAAACTGCAAGAAAACTCCAAATCCTGAGCTTGGTGCTTTGTTCTGTTCGTTCAGGAATAACATTAACATCCCAATGATCAGCTAACATCGCTTCATTCGCAAGCTTAGCGTAAAAAACTTTCAAAAGGAAAAACTTACAAATGAGTAAAAAATGTGCTTTTATATTAAAGTTTAGTATTTACCGGGTGAGACATATGTGCAAACGCCTTGTTCTAAAACGGAAGAAAACAGCACCTGACTTTTGAACTCCATAATAAATTATTTACAGCCAGACGGACAAAGACCTTAGAGTTAACACTTGGGAAGAGAAAAGACAAATCAAAGCGCCATAGAAGAATGATTAAAAATTTTATATCTCGTGTAGTTAGCCTTTTTTTAACTTACTTTTTTCAGTTCCTATTTAACTGAATCGGACGAACATGTAGAAACTAAGGTTTAAAACAGCGCAATCTTCTTGTCAACATCATTAAATCACGACCTAAGGAGGACTCCCTTCCAATCTCATTCATTTCATCTAAACCGCCCCATCTAAACGCAAGTGACATGGGTTTTCTGTTAAAACCATTGATTTAGTTTGTTGTGTTAATATGGTAAAATTTTGATGTTTCATTATTCTCGTGTTTTCCACTCAAGTTCGTGTAAACTTCAATCATGAACACTTCTTAAGTTCAAAATTTATAGTAAAATTTCATCAGATGATATTTGATGCCAAACAAGAGATTGTAAAGTTTCTATTCTCTTGTTGATGCCTATTCTTTGCTCTTTTGGGTTCAGTGTGGAGAAAATTCAATGGAGAGGATGTGCTAATCTCCGGCTTTTATGTGATGACTAATTAGGTAATCAGCTGGTCGAGTGACATCACTTTCCCGCCAAAATCAGTGTTCCATGGCGAGAACGGGGAGGACTGTTCACAATAGTACTGGTAAAGGCAGATGCAGGGGAGACTGACGATTCAAACATATGATCAGTTTGTTTTCACGGATTTCCAGGATGAGTGCTTCCCCGTATTTCACCTCAAAAGGAAGACAAACACGCTCGGCGGCTAGAGAAGCAATCGCAGCTTTGTCAACGAACCAAAAGGAACCAAGAAGGCACATCAAAATCGAATACGAGAAGCGACTGACATGAAGAAGACTCGTCCAAGACACCTCCACGGCACAAACAAAAGGTTCAACTTGGCAGCCTCTTAACTGGAGAGAGCAGCTTGTTAATATTCGTGAAATGAGAAAAACACGCGATGCCCCAGTTGATTCACAAGGATGCCAGAAGACAGCTGATGAGAGCCAGTCACCAGAGGTGAGAGAAGATGAAATTGGCAGTCCAGTGGGGTGGGGTAAGGGAAGATCCGACACAGTGGTCTCCTCGGAGACAACTAAGCTGATTCATGAGAAGTAGAAACGTTTTGGGTAAAAATTCTGCACAGCCCCATACTGTTGTAAAACAAATCTGTTTTCCTAATGGCAATGTATTGTTTTTGTCATTGTTTTCTCTATCCAAGAACTGAATGCATGATGTAGAATGGGGCTGTGTAGAAATTTTACCACTTTTTGCTTGGTCAGTGTCAACACATTCATTTACCCTCAGCAATTGATTGCATCCCACTTTTCATTTGAGTTATAAGATAAATTATGACAAATAGTTCAACAGCTATATGTTTAACCCTTTACACCCCAACATTATAGTATGCATAGTCTCCATACTGTTCTCCCCACATATCCTAAGGTAACGACAATGAGAATTTGTGTACCAATCAGGAGCTTCTTTGCTTGGTGATCGTTTCCTTTTTTCTCAAGGGTTCAAGGGTTATAGAGTAATGAGAAATTAGATGTTAGTCACTCTTAAGGGTTAAGGTGGGTGAGGATCAGTTTGCAGAGTATAGCAGTGCATGCGCAAGTTCCCTTTTAAAAGTCAATTGCATGCCAAAATTGCTGCATTGTGTCAAGATCTGCCATACTCTGCAGCCTGGGATGAGGTTTAGGTCTCCTCATAAGAACCTGGACAACTGGACCAGTCTTTTTTCAGATATCTTGCCTTACTGATGTTTATTTGTCAAATTTTTTGTGATGATTTTGGTTTCTTTTTTTCTCACTTGCAACAATAGAGATCTTCATGTATGAGCTACTGGGATAAAAGTTGTAAGGATACACCCTCATCCTGGCAACCATTCTTAAATTTCCCATTTAACCCTTTAAACCCAAAGGATGAGTAACATCTAATTTCTCCCTACAATATCACTCCTGAATCACACATTAAGGTCATGAGAATTAAGGAAATGGTCATCAGGAAAGAACCCTTTTGATTGGCAAACAAATTCTCCTTGTCAGCACCTTAGGAAATGTATAAAGAACAGTGTGGAGAATATACATACTGATGTTAGGGTGGAAAGGGTTAAAGAGTAGCCAGTCAGAAATCTTACCTTGCATATAGGGTGGAAATTTCCCTTCTAATCAGCAGACAAAGTCTGCTGATTAAGCTTGCCACATCATCAGACTCAACTGAAGAGTTTGTTCAGAAGAAAGAGGGTGCTTACAAATATTAGTTAATAATTCTACCACTGTCCTATCACAAACAATGAAAACTAATTGACTATGCCGCATACTATCTGAAATTTACGAGGAGAATTTGTTTGATAATCAGGAGCTTCTAGAATTGGACATCATTTCCTTAATTCTCATGATTCTAAATATTTGATGCTAGGGTGAAACTGTTAGGAGAAATTAGAAGCCCGTCACTCTTAGGGGAAAGAGGGTTAAGACAGTCCAGTATCAATGGTTCATCTCTCCTCACTTTTGCTGACAGTCTGATATCAAGTACTTATCTCCCTCATGCTGTCAAGTCAAACAAAAGACCAAGTTACTTTTGCTGCAATGAAAAAGTTAAAGGCTTATGAGTTAAAAATAGAGAACATTCTTACAACATCAACAAGCAAAATTGGCCAGTGTAAAGGCTAAAAAGCTGACATTTCGAGCATTAGCCCTTCATCAGAGCAATTGGAGGACTTGTGGGTTGTGTGTGGGTTTATACGCAGAAAGTGGAACTACACTATTGTTCATAGAATTTCTAACAGACCAAGATCGGTCAAAAAACGTACTAAACTGCCAGAGGAAACTAGAATTGCTGTAGAAAGCTGGTGAAAAGTGATTTTGAATGATGCCAAGTTACACAAATTCTCTCCACCAGGTGTTTTGCTCCTTCCTTGCCAAAGCCTTTTCACTTACTGCCACATTTTAGAGACCCAGCTATTGTGCAAGTTCCAAACAACTTTTACAAATATTCTGAAATGAACAGGCTTTTGTTCCTTCCTGACTTTCAAGGAGCAGAATGCAAAAAGGAAAACTTTAAGGACTTTCAGACCTAGGTTCAAGATTCTCTAGATGCATAGCAAACCTTGACTATCATATGCTGTTTACCCATAACCCACAGTTAAATAATTAGAGTGTATGGTTTCAGAGACTAAATGAGTGAATTCTTTTTCTGTTTTGCAGAGAGGAGTGGGATGAACTGAATGTATTGTTGGTTGGATTTGCTCAACAGACATGTGTTCCTGTAACTCCAATGTGCGAGTTCTGTCTTAACTCCAAGATCTGTCCTGAAGGTCGAAGAAGGAGCAGAGGAAAAGCTGAGGAGGAAACTAAGAAAAAACTTTCACCCAGAAAGGATAGAAAGGACACTAAGACTTAAGGGGAAATTAAGTTTTACTTTAACATAGGCTGTCCTTGTCTTTAGCCTTGGGCCATGCATGTTGTGCAAAGCTGGCTTAAGGTAGCCTCATGGTTAGTGTGAAATCTGATATCAGATCTTAACCCTCTGACTCCCAGAAGTGATTCATATATAACTTTTCCTTACAATATCCGTGCACTATCCAGCAAAAGGGTAATGAGAATGTAGAAGTTGTTATCTTGATCTAACACCAAATTCTTGAAACTAATTTACAAGGAAATGTTAAACAGGTAGAGGAGGAAATTAATAATCAGATCTTGGGAGTTATAGGGTTAAAGCTATAGAAGAAAATTCATTACAATTTGTTTGTCTACAATTTGATGATTGGATGCCTTTTAAAGAATAAAGAAAATTATTCAAAGAAGGCTTTTTAACAAAGCAGTAAGGAAACCTGGATTAAAATTTAACTCTGGGTTAGCACTAATCAGCCTTCCAACAACTGAGCCCTGGTTAGCATTGGTCCTCAAACCATGTTTCAAGACTGGTTCCAACTGTGTAAAATAAATGTACAGGTTCATGATACAATGGATAAAAGGGGAGATGGAAGCAAAATCAAAGACTGTGAGACCTAGGTAACAAGATGCTCTTTTTGTGAAAAATTTTTTATAAGTGGCACCCCTTCCTTGAAGGGAGAGATCTGCCATTGAATTTGATTTAGAAATTAGTTTATACTTAAACGGTGGATGGCAATGAAGGCGCGCTCTGATTGGCTACTCAAACTCCTTTGCTATTCGCCTCGCAAAGCTATTCACAATTATCTATAAGACCCCAACAGCCTACCCAACAGGGTCTACCGCCGGGTTCAGGGCAACATCCCCCTGTATCTCAGAGACTAAAGACCCCCCTCCGAAACCTAATGTCTCCATAGCGGTGGCTCCAAGCGGTATCGTTTTGTCGTGGTATATGGCTCTTGAGGAGAGACACGCGCCTATAATGAACTATCAACTGTTTGCGTTTTAGGACGGTGGTACAACGGAGAACCCTCACCAGTGGAAGAAGATTGGAGTTGTCAAGGCGTTGACGCTTCCTATGGCTTGCACTCTGATTCAGTTATCACCCGGCAATAAGTACTACTTCTTGGTGCGTGCTACTGATGTTAATGGACGACAGGGTGAGTGCAGTGAGGCTTGCACTATAACTCTCAAATAAATCATTTTGGCAATAAGGGAAACTGTCTTGTACAGCTCTTTATCGGCACTAATGGTACTTACGTATAAGAAACTTAGTGTGGGGTCTTCAAGTTAGATTTATACCCCAAGAATACAACGGCAATCAATAATAGCCAATCTGTACAGTACAGAACTTGTAGTATTTGTGAATCGAAATGTAATATATGTCTTCTTTGCCGTTGTTATTCGCCGCCGAAGCTAAACGTATTTACATCTTTTTACTTTTGGAGGAAAGAATCGCGATCTCAGATGCTTGAAATTTGTTTTATTACGCCAAGGGTATGAATTAATCGATTTTCTACAGCATTGATAGTTACTGATTTCTAGATTTTGTTTGCTTTTAGAAATGGGAGATTTTAAGAATGTGTTGCCGACGTTTTTTTTTTGTTTTTTTTTCTTTTGTCGTCGCATAATTACTGGCAGAACGAACTATTGATCAACCCTTTTGATGTGTTATCTTCAACAATGGGGGATCATTATAAGATGGTGTGGGTGTTGGGATTTTAAACTCGATCGCTTAAATCCTTAGGCTGAATGTGAAATCGCGATATCAACCTGTTTCCCAGTCCTCTCCAGCATGAACCTTGAGGGAAAACAGATAGAACCCTGGAGAGGAGGCTCTCTCCCCTTCCTTTTTTTTTTTTTCAAGTCATAGAAAGCTCCCCCGAACTTCGTTTGAGTTGAGTGAAATCTTTTAGTTCCTCAATTCGTGAACATCTAACTTGCAATACTTTTTGTTTTTGTCTAATTTTTTTTTTGCTCGACAATACGTTGAAGGGAGGAGATCAGGTTCGCGGAGGATTTAGCAGCCAAAATATTCCGACGCCCCTCAAAACAATTCAGAAAGCATTACTTTTATTTTGCCTTTCTCTAACGACTGTGGTAACTAAGTCTGTAAAGAAACATATTGGCCTCTTTTACGGATAGTTTTAACAGTCCTTCAGGAAATGTGTTTTTTGTATGTACATACTTCCAGAATCGATGGCAACGATTGGCGTCGCACTTGTTACATATTCGTGGGGTATTAAATTACTATGATATAACGAAATGCTTAAAAGTTCAGGGAAGTTGCCAAGGCTTTATTTTACAAACACTTTTTATGATTTTTATTTTCAAGAAAGTAAAAGCCTTTTTCACTAACACGGCTATAAAACCCGACCATTTGTAAATAACAGTTTTTGAAACATGTGGTTGGCCTGTGGCTTCAAGGTTTGCTTTTGATCGCTTCACTTTGTTTTGGTCTCTTGGTGTCTTGAAACAGGATTAGACATGATGGTCTGTTTATAATGTGTGACATCTGTTAGTGGGGTGCTAATGGAACATCACCATTGGAAGGAAAGGTTTCACATTTCACTTCAAGTTGAAGAAAGCGATTTCATGTCGGTATTTAAAACCTAGTGCTAGACTAAATTATGTGTCAATGTATTATTATGCTAATAATATATCAATGGATTTCAGTCACCTTCGCAGCTGTTTTTGGTTGTAACGCCACGCAGCACCGGGCGTTACATGACAACTTGAGTTTCCATTGCAAATTCTATGAAGGCTACATTAGTTAGTGCCCAGATCTCTTCGTCAAGTTCCTTGCATCCCTGAAGGTGACGTATGGTGACTTTTTTTGTGTAGTTTTGTTCAGTTATGCCTTACTTTCATCTCAGAGAGATTTAGGTCAGGGTGAGAAGCCCAAGGACGCCAGACCGGACCATCCTTTGAATTGAGATTAACCTCGCCACATTGGTTTGCCCACCATGCACCTTCAGGAAAACACTTGCCAGGGTGGTTGTCATTATCTTGGTCTGGTGTGCCGAATTTCATCCCTCGGATGTTCAATTTAGGATCTGTATTTCCATAAAACCCATTTGTGATGTTTCCTTCGTACGAAGTCATGTCGCATCGATACTTTTCTGTTTCGTCAGCTACCCGAAACCCACCATATTTGGCATATCCCTTTTGGCCGTTGGTTCGGTGCAGATCTATTCGAAGAATGCTGTCTGAAGAGGCGATTCGGTGCAAGTTGTCGTTTCCAAGCCAGAATTCTTTGGACACGTCGCCAAAGCCTACTCGATACTCTACCCACGTTCGTCTAAAGCTTTGCTTGTATGGACGGGAACGTCTCTGAACCACAGTCCACCCACCTCCATCTGTGGTTTGGTCACAGTACACGTTTATGACCCCTTGACCATCTGGGTTGATTTTATAAATGCCATTGTGATTCGCTCCCAGGGTTTTCAGCTGCTGACAGCTTCTCACTGTACATGGAACAAAAGAAACATAGTATGAGACTTGTTGCTGAAAGGAAATTATCGCAAATTTAAGTGTTCTTCTCTTCTATTTAGTCACGAGTTACCCACCTCCGCTGTGCTTTTCGCAATACACTCCTTTATAATCCTGTCGACATTCACACGTGAACATCCGGGGATTCCAACACGCGTCAACACATGTTCCACCATTTTGACATGAAGCCGAGGCGCAACCAGGTCCATTTCCTCCCTGAGAGAAAATGGGAAGAATGGTTAAACGTACTTTCATCCTTTTATAAGGCGAAACTTACCATGACAATACCTTATTAGGTTGAAATACATTCTCGTTCTTAGAGCTAACGTTTCTCTTTGATGGTGGTCTGTACTCTTAATTCAAAACGAGTATAGACGTGTGATATTTCCAAAGTTTTGAGTAGGAATTAATCTTTCCCTCTCCTATTTTCCTTGTAAATGAAATTTCGTTTCCGGTGTATATCGATCAACAATTTTGTCTCTATTTGAGCAAATTATATTTACCCGGGATTTCTTTTTAGAAATTGGGCATTTTATCAGTTGTGTCAATAACAAAATTTTCAAGTATGAGTGGTACTTTTTTCAGTAAAACAGCTCTTATTTGCGGCTTGATTGACTGTTTCCTGTCCAAACTGTTTGATTTCATCTGTCTAATTATAAGCACAGTAAATGTTAGCCAATCAAAATGAAAGCGCATTGAGCATTGGATATTTCTCACATTGTTTAGACTTACGACCTGAACCTTTGCTATATGAATCAATTCATGTGCGCATGTTTAAATTAAAGTTTTCATTCCTGCTCGTAATCTCAAGTCATTCGCCCGATTGCTGCATGAATTGTACTCCCGCCCACTGAGTCCTACTACATTTCAACTTACTGTGCTTCGGGCTAGAAATGAAGGTCTAACAAACGCTGCTCTGTGTGCATGTTCAGTTTTAGGGCAGCCATACCGTTCTCTGAGATAAAGGCATTTATTTGACCTCTCGATATCACTTTGACACTACCTTGCTCAGAAGATGGAATTTGAAAAACCGAAGACCTCAAAGGTTCCTGCGCTTGGCAGGTTTAGCAGTAATGATTAAGTTTCTAACTGATCTGTAAATTTCTATGACTCACCATCTGTGTCGTTGGCTCGTAGTAAGTGATGCCGTTTCTTAAAACAAAGTCATTTGGGGCTGTCGCCTTTGATTGGTCACTTAATTCACATGTTTTCCCTGAGTTTGCATAATTAAACGATTGACAGCGTGCGTCCCGTAAACATTTCCACGTGCAGTCTATCGGGCACGTGACGGTGTGTGTTGCAATCACGTGATTAACCAAACTATAGCCTAGAACAGATGTAAACATATCTTCATATGTAAGGGTTTTCTTTAAGATAAATCTTAAATGAAATTACTGAAAAGAAAGAAATTAAGAGGGACATTGACGACTTGATGACAATCGTAAACCTTTATACGATACTAGGAACACTTTGATTGGGCGAAAGCCTATCGTTCATTGTACCAGCAAACTCAGGCTCCATTTTTAAAGGCTTGGAAAGCGCACTTTCTATCAATTTTAGGCGTTAATGCACTTGGAACGTTGGTAATCATGCACTTTCGGTTCGTGATTTACAACCTTTCCTCGTGTTCTCCTATCATCCCGTGTGAGTTTTTGCGTCTTAAAAACCGACAGGAAGTGAAAATTATTGCCTAGATGTTAACATAGTTTACATGGAATCATTTTTGACATGTTTTAAAAATTACTCTCGGTTTTCGTAAATTTCCAGCCAGTTCTATCTTAGGCTGTTCGCGACTCCTCGATACACAGCAAGCAAATACACAAGGCTTCAAAGTTGTTGGTTCTTAATTCTGGAAACGCCTATAATTAAGATTCCAACTTATCAGACGGTTTTTTACTCAAATCACAGCAAATTCGATGACCGGTCCTCCTTTTCATCCTCATCGTCCTTGTTGGCCATGGTTTATTCTAGTTTGATCGTTTCTGGAACATGATAACTTGAAGTAGTTCCATTCGAAGGTGAATACAATTCCATCATTACTAAAAGTGACCATACAAGTGAAAAGAGTTTATCTCTAAGATTTTCGAGCGAAGTTAACTTTATTCCATTACAGCTTCAAGCGAAGCGATGCCAGAGAGGAATGCACGACACGAAAAGCCGAATTTGACAGCTTGAAACTTACCCACGTTAAGAGAAAAATGACTGAATGCTTTGCTAATTGTAGTGCTTCGACTTGAGACTCGGTATTTAAGTGTTTTTCGCTAAAATATGAAGATTTGCTTGTGTTGTAACTGATGCACCACAGCGCATCACGATTACATTACCTTCCACCGTTCTATTTAAATAGTCTCAACAAATCTACTTGGTTTACATTGGTTCTGCGTCAAGTTTTCTCTTCTTCATCGCGGTCGTCTAAGATATATTTTTTGCGATTATCTAGAGTGCACAGATTTCTTGTTCAAGTCAAGCTTTACCTTTTTCAGGATGTTCGAATCTCCCGTATCTGAAACAAGACAAGCGACCAGGATTCGACGTTCCTGTTAGATGCTGAGCTGAGGGAGTTGCAAACTTCCAGCACAGGAGAAACTGAGAATGGAAGAGTAAAGTGAGTCGCTGCATTGTTTTCAAGTTACTTCCACTCGGCTTTTGCATTAGTTCACGATCAAAATAAAGTCGTGAACTTAGTTGCGTCAACTTGAAAATGAATAATTTTCGAATGAAAATAATTCTCATCCACAGTTTGTTTTTGTGTTAGGTTCTAGAACTTGGCAGGAGACTGGCGAATAACATTAATTATTAAAAGCTCGATCAACTTCAAAATTTGACACATTTGTTAAGGATTCCCTTCTATTTCTATTGAAGAAAGATTAAACGGTTTAAGGGGGGAAAATAAGTGAGCAATTTTTTCTGAGGAAGACATTGATAACATTTCACGACATTGGTTCACTGACTGAACTTGTTCGTGCGCTAATTATAGCATTATTTTCTTTTCAATTGCCATGGAATTAATTAACTTAACAGTTTTCCGGGTTTTGTGGTGCTTTTATCCTGCAAATAGTTACCCAAGGGTTCAGTAGTCTACAATTTAAAACTAAATAATAGAAGTCTAGAATTTGAGACTAGACAAAGATAGAATTTAATTAAAACTAGATAAACTATATTACATGTTGGCGGATAATGTATGGATGTTATAGGGAGAAGTTACATGTTAGTCACTTATGGGAGTTAAAGGGTAAAGCATTTTGAGGTAATCCGCGCGTTACGTAACCTCTTATCAATCTCTGAAGAGTTTAAGTCCTGACCTTACTTTGTCTACTTTCAGGAATAACACTTAAGCGATCAGGTAAACATCGTTCAAAAAGAAAGCTTAGCGTACAAATTTTCAAAAGAAAAACTACATATAAATAAAATTCTGCTTTCATTAAAATTTAAAGAAATAACGTGAGTCAGCTCTCCTCTACATAAATTATTAAGTACTTACGAAGCGAGATATACGTATAAATTTGAAGTCCTGATGCGAAAAGGTACTGACCCGCAATGTAAGAATTGTAGAGACTGTATGGGGTATTTATTTTTAAACTTTATCCATAAATGCGCGAAGGCGCTAAAGAACGCACGTAACGTGAATTCAAGTCTACTTTAAATAAACATCAAAGCAAGCAAACGGGGGACCAAAACATGAAGGTCCTTGGGAAACTGATCGTTATTATACGTCCAGTTCCCAGCCATATTAAGCATACTGAGGTTACAGTTGGATTATCATAAAATCTCTTTGATTCACCTGCTACGTAACCTCTCAATAAAAAGTTTACATCCTGAGCTTGGTGCTTCTTCCTGCTTGGGTTCAGGAATAACGTTATTACGATCGGGTTAATATCGGAACAATACTGACCCGCAACATACGAATTGTATAGTCTGTAAGGGGTCTGTAAGGGGTATATTCTCTTTATACATAAATACGTAAAAGGCGCTAAAGAACGCTCAACCTAAATTTGAATCCTTGTGAAATAAATGCTGGTTTCTCCCAAACTACACGCAAACTCCAAATCATGAACTTAGTGCTTCGTCCTGTTCCTTCAGGAATAACGTTAACATCCTACCGATCGACTAAACATCGCTTAAAACGCAATCTTAGCATAAAAAAACTTTCAGATAACTTCAGATAATTTCAAAAACTTGCAAATAAATAAAAATTGTGCTTTTTATATTAAAATTTGAAGAAATGAGGTGAGACAGCTCTTTACATAAATTATTTAGTATTTACCAGGTGAGACATATTTACAAATGCCTCGTCCTAACACGAAAGAAAACAACACTTATTTTGACTTTTGAACTCTACAATAAATTATTTACAGCAAGACGGACAAACACCTTTGGAGTTGACACTGGGAAAGAGAAAAGACAAATCAAAGCGCCATAGAAGATTGATTAAAAATTTATATCTTTTTATTTATATCTATTCATATTTTTTGAGTATTTCTCAGTTACTATTTAACTGGATCGGACGAACATATAGAAACTAAGGTTTAAAACAGCGCAATCTTCTTGTCAATATCCATAAATCACGATCTCATTCATTTCATCTAAACCGCCCCATCTAAAGGTAAGTGACATGGGTTTTCTATTAAAACCATTGATTTAGTTTGTTGTTTTAATATGGTAAAATTTTGATGTTTCATTATTTTCGTGTTTGCCACTCAAGTTCGAGTGAATTTCAATCATGAACACTTCTTAAGCTCAAAATTTTCAGTAAAATTTCATCAGACGATGTTTGTATAGGTAATCACATGATTTCGAGTGCAATTTGGAATAAATAAGCACGAGTAAATTTTTTCAAAGACTAACAAAATTGCACGAGCCCGTAGGGCGAGTGCAATTTGTTTCGCTCGCAAATTTTCAAATTTTGTTGCGACATCAAAGGCTCGTATTTGATTGGCTCTCTGTGAGTTTCTTTGATTATTGACCAATCAGAATGTATGGTTTGTTTCTCTCTTTGCACTGAATTAACCCTCTTCTGCACTGAATCAACTCTCTTCTGCACTGAATTACCTGAAAACCGCATTTATCTTAACCAATCAGAACTGAGTAATTTTTCCATGTATATTATTAGATGCCAAACAAGAGATTGTAAAGTTTCTACTCTCTTGTTGATGCCTATTCTTTGCTCTTCTGGGTTAAGTATGGAGAAAATTCAATGGAGAGGATGTGCTAATAGGGAATCAGTTTTATTCTTCGGCAAATCTCCGGCTTTTTGTATTGACTAATTACGTAATCAGCTGGTCGAGTGACATCACTTTCCCGCCAAAATCAGCGTTCCATGGGGAGATCGAGGAGGACTGCTCACGATAATATTGATAATGCCAGACATAAGGGAGACTGACGATTCAAACATATGATCAGTTTGTTTTCACGGATTTAAAGGATGAGTACTTCCCCGTATTTCAAGACAAACACGCTCGGCGGCTAGAGAAGCAATCGTAGCTTTGTCAACGAACCGAAAGGAACCAAGAAGGCACATCAAAATCGAATACGAGAAGCGACATGAAGAAGACTCGTCAAGGGACGACAAGAAAACTGAAGATGTTGCGGCCAAAAAGCGTAAAAAAGACACATCCACGGCACAGACACAAGGTTCAACTTGGCAGCCTCCTAACTGGAGAGAGCAGCTTGCTAATATTCGTGAAATGAGAAAAACACGCGATGCCCCAGTTGATTCACAAGGATGCGAGAAGACAGCTGATGAGAGCCAGTCACCAGAGGTGAGAGGAGATGAAATTGGCAATCCAGTGGGGTGGGGTAAGGGAAGATCCGACACAGTGGTCTCCTCGGAGACAACAAAGCTGATTGATGAGAGATAGAAACTTTTTGTTTGGTCAATGTCAACACATTCATTTACCCTCAGCAATTGAGTGGGTCCTCAGAGCCAACTATGCTTATTTATGAGAAGTAGAAACGTTTTGGGTAAAATTTCTGTACAGCCCCATTCTATTGTAAAACAAATCTGTTTTCCCAATAGCAATGTATTGTTTTTGTCACTGTTTTCTCTATCTAAGAACTGAATGCATAATGTAGAATGGGGCTGTGCAGAAATTTTACCACTTTTTGTTTGGTCAATGTCAACACATTCGTTTACCCTCAGCAATTGATTGCATCCCACTTTTCATTTGAGTTATAAGATAAATTATGACAAATAGTTCAACAGCTATATGTTTAACCCTTTACACCCCAACATTATAGTATGCATAGTCTCCATACTGTTCTCCTCACATATCCTAAGGTAATGACAAGGAGAATTTGTGTAACAATCAGGAGCTTCTTTGCTTGGTGGTCATTTCTTTTTTTCTTGTGACCTTGCTGTGTGATTCAGGGGTGATAGGGTAATGAGAAATTAGATGTCAGTCACTCTTAGGTGTCAAAGGGTTAAGGTGGGTGAGGATCAGTTTGCAGAGTATGGTAGTGCATGCACAAGTTCCCTTTTAATAGTCAATTGCATTCCAAAATCGCTGCATTGCATCAAGATCTGCCATACTCTGCAGCCTGGGATGAGGTCGAGGTCTCCTCATAAGAACCTGGACAACTGGGCCAGTCTTTTTTCAGAGATTTTGCCTTATTGATGTTTATTTGTCAAGTTTTTTGTGATGATTTTGGTTTCTTTTTTTCTTACTTGCAACAATAGAGATCTTCATGTATGAGCTACTGGGATAAAAGTTGTAAGGATACACTCTCCTCCTGGGGGTGTAAATTTCCCATTTAACCTTTTAAACCCTAAGGATGAGAAACATGTAATTTCTCCCTACAATATCACTCCTGAATCATACATTAAAGTCATGAGAATTAAGGAAATGGTCATCAAGAAAGAAACCTCTTGATTGTAAAACAAATTCTCCTTGTCAGCAGCTTAGGAAATGTATAAAGAACAGTGTGGAGAATATGCATACTGATGTTAGGGTGTAAAGGGTTAAAGAGTGGCTAGTCAGAAATCTTACCTTGCATATAAGAAATTTCCCTTCTAATCAGAAAACAAAGTCTGCTGATTAAGCTTGCCATGTCATCAGGCTCAACTGAAGAGTTTGTTCAGAAGAAAGAAGGGGCTTACAAATATTAGTATAATTCTACCATCATCCTATCACAAATAATGAAAACTAATTGACTATGCTACATACCATCTGGAATTTACGAGGAGAATTTATTAGACAATCAGGAGCTTCTAGAATTGGACATCATTTCCTTTATTTTCTTGATTTTAAGTATTTGATGCAAGGGTGAAACTGTTAGGAGAAATTAGAAGCCAATCACTATTAGGGGGAAGAGGGTTAAGACAGTCCAGTATCAATGGTTCATCTCTCCTCACAATTGCAGATGGTCCGGTATCAAGTACTTATTTCCCTCATGCTGTCAAGTCAAAGAAAAGACCAAGTTACTTTTGCTGCGATGGGAAAGTTAAAGGCTTATGGGTTAACAATAGAGAACATTCTCACAACGTCAACAAGCAAAATTGGTGAACTTATCTACCCTGTTGGCTTCTGGAAGGTGAGTAAATTTTTATGTTAGTTAGAAACTTGATTTTGACAGAATTTACTTACTAGAAAAGTAACTTGCAGAATAGTCTGAAGGCCTTCTCTCCCCTTATTAAATAAAAGTTTTGAACATCTTTTAAAAGCTTACTAGTGGGGCTTTTTAGAAAAGCTACTGATAATAATTTTTTTCATCATCAGTCATGTTAAACAGGGTTCAGGGGGGTCTTATATTAGCATGTTACTGAAACAAGGGGGTTATACCAAGTTGTTTTATTATTTTCACTTGTCACTTTTTCACTTACAAAGAGGGGTAGATTGGTTGATGTCCTCCATAGAACCCTCTGAGTCCCCTCCCTCCCTCCCCCCCCCTTTATCATAAAAACCACTAGCAGAAGTCTAGAAGTAGAAAAAGAAACAACAAAAATGGCTCAAAATCTATGACACTGAACTCCCTTTTTAACTTGTAACCCTTTAACTTCCAGAGGTTATCAATATGAAACTTATCCTAATAATAGGTAATTTAGTGTTAACAACTGAGTTGAAAACTTAAATTGGCTAGTGTAATGGCTAAAAAAGCTGACGTTTCAAGCATTAGCCCTTCATTAGAGCAGTTGGAGGAATTGTGGGTTGTGTGTGGGTTTATAAGCAGAAAGTGGAACTACACTATTGTTCCATCACCATATTCTCACCAATAGCATAGCTCCACTTTCTGCAAACTTCCAGGTGTGGGCCCAAAAAATGGTGCATATTACCATGAACGTGGCTTGGCGACAAGTGACTGGAACTGGAGTTGATACTCATGTTCATAGAATTTCTAACAGACCGGGATGGGTCAAAAAATGTACTAAACTGCCAGAGGAAACTAGAATTGCTGTAGAAGGCTAGTGAAAAGAGATTTTGAATGATGCCAAGTTACACAAATTCTCTTCACCAGGTGTTTTGCTCCTTCCCTGCCAAAGCCTTTTCACTTACTGCCACATTTTAGAGACCCAGCTATTGTGCAAGTTCCAAACAACTTTTACAAATATTCTGAAATGAACAGGCTTTTGTTCCTTCCTGACTTTCAAGGAACAGAATTAAAAATGGAAAACTTTAAGGACTTTCAGACCTAGATTCAAGATTCTCTAGATGCATAGCAAACCTTGACTATCATATGCTGTTTACCCATAACCAACAATTAAATAATTAGAGTGTATGGCTTCAGAGACTAAATTAGTGAATTCTTTTTCTGTTTTGCAGAGAGGAGTAGGATGAACTGAATGTATTGATGGTTGGATTTGGTCAAGAGACATGTGTTCCTGTAAGTCCAATGTGCAAGTTCTGTCTTAACTCCAAGATCTGTCCTGAAGGTTAAAGAAGGAGCAGAGGAAAAGCTGAGGAGGAAACTAAGAAAAAACTTTCACCCAGAAAGGATAGAAAGGACACTAAGATTTAAGGGGAAATTAAGTTTTACTTTAACTTAGGCTGTCCTTGTCTTTAGCCCTGGGCCATGTTGTGCAAAGCTGGGTTGAGATAGCCTCATGGTTAGTGTGAAATCTGATATCAGATGTGAACCCTCAAACTCCCAGAAGTGATTCACATGTAACTTCTTCTTACAATATCTGTGCACTATCCAGCAAACAGGTAATGAGAAGGTAGAAGTTGTTATCTTGATCTCACACCAAATTCTCGCAACTAATTTACAAGGAAATGTTAAGCAGGTAGAGGAGGAAATTAATAATCAGATCTTGGGAGTTATAGGGTTAAAGCTATAGAAGAAAATTCATTATAATTTGTTTCGTTTACGATTTGATGATTGGATGCCTTTTAAAAAATAAAGAAAATTATCCAAAAAAGGCTTTTTAACAAAGCAGTCAGGAAACCTGGATTAAAACTGAACCCTGGGTTAGCACTAATCAGCCCTCCAACAACTGAGCCCAACTGTGTAAAATAAATGTACAGGTTCGTGATACAATGGATAAAAGGCGAGATGGAAGCAAAATCAAAGACTGAGACCTAGGTAACAAGGTGCTTTTTTTGTGAAAGATTTTTTATAAGTGGCACCCCTTCCTTGAAGGGAGAGATCTGCCATTGAATTTAATGTAGAAATTAGTTTACACTTAAACGGTGGATGGTAATGAAGAAGCGCTCTTATTGGCTACTCAAACTCCTTTTATCCTTTGCTATTCGCCTTGCAAAGCTATTCACAAGTATCTATAAGACCCAAACAGGGTCTACCGCCGAGTTTAGGGCAACATCCCCCGTATCTCCAGCAACAGAGACTAAAGACCCTCCTCCGAAACCTAATGTCTCCATAGCGGTGGTTCCAAGTGGTATCGTTTTGTCGTGGTACATGACTCTTGAGGAGAGACACGCGGCTATAATGAACTAGCAACTGTTTGCCCTTTAGGACGGAGGCACAACGGAGAACCCTCACCAGTGGAAGAAGATTGGAGTCGTCAAGGCGTTGACGCTTCCTATGGCTTGCATTCTGACTCAGTTATCACCCGGCAATAAGTGCCACTTCTTGGTACGCGCTACTGATGTTAATGGACGACAGGGTGAGTGCAGTGAGGCCTGCACTATTACTCTCAAATAAATCATTTTGGCAATAAGAGAAACTGTCTTGTACAGCTCTTTATCGGCACTATTGGTACTTACGTATAAGAAACTTAGTGTGGAGTCTTCAAGTTAGATTTATACCCCAAGAATACAACGGCAATCAATGATAGACAATCCGTAAAGTACTGAACTTTGAGTATTTGTGAATCGAAATTTAATATATGTCTTCCTTGCCGTTGTTATACGCCGCTGAAGCCAAACGTATTTATATCTTTTACTTCTGGAGGGAAGAATGGCGATCTCAGATGCGTGAAATTTGTTTTATTACGCCAAAGATATGAATTAATCGATTTTCTACAGTATTGATGGTTACTGTTTTGTAGATTTTGTTTGCTTTTAGAAATGAGAGATTTTAAGAATGTGTTGCCGTCGTTTTTTTTTGTCGTCGTATAATGACTGGTAGAACGAACTATTGATCAACCCTTTTGATGTGTTATTTTCAACAATAGGGGATCATCATAAGATGGTGTGGGTGTTGGGATTTAAACTCGATCGCTTAAATCCTTAGGCTGAATGTGAAATCCCGATGTCAACCTGTTTCCCAGTCCTCTCCAGCATGAACCTTGAGAAAAAACAGATAGAACCCTGGAGAAGAGGCCCTCCCCCCCCTCCCCCTCTTTTTTTTTTTCCAAGTCATAGAAAGCTCCCCCGAACTTCGTTTGAGTTGAGTGAAATCTTTTAGTTCCTCAATTCGTGAACATCTAACTTGCAATACTTTCTTTTTTTGTCTAACTTTTTTTTTGCTCGACAATACGTTGAAGGGAGGAGATCAGGCTCGCGGAGGATTTAGCAGCCAAAATATTCCGACGCCCCTCAAAACAATTCAGAAAGCATTACTTTTATTTTGCCTTTCTCTAACGACTGTGGTAACTAAGTCTGTAAAGAAACTATTGGCCTCTTTTACGGATAGTTTTAACAGTCCTTCAGGAAATGTGCTTTTTGTATGTACATACTTCCAGCATCGATGGCAACAATTGGCGTCGCACTTGTTACATATTCGTGGGCTATTAAATTACTATGATATAACGATATCCTTAGAAGTTCAGGGAAGTTGCGAAGGCTTTATTTTACAAACACTTTTTTATGATTTTATTTTCAAGAAAGTAAAAGCCTTTTTCACTAACACGGCTATAAAACCCGACCATTTGTAAATAACAGTTTTTGAAACATGTGGTTGGCCTGTGACTTCAAGGTTTGCTTTTGATCGCTTCACTTTGTTTTGGTCTCTTGGTGTCTTGAAACAGGATTAGACATAATGGTCTGTTTATAATGTGTGACATCTGTTCGTGGGGTGCAAATGAAACCTCACCATTGGAAGGAAAGGTTTCACATTTCATTTCAAGTTGAAGAAAGCGATTTCGTGTCGATATTTAAAACCTAGCGCAAGACTAAATTATGTGTCAATACATTATTATGCTAATAATATATCAATGGATTTCAGTCACCTTCGCAGCTGTTTTGGTTGTAACGCCACGCAGCACTGGGCGTTACATGACAAGTTGAGTTGCCATTGCAAATTCTATAAAGGCTACATTAGTTAGTGCCCAGATCTCTTCGTCGAGTTCCTTGTATCTTTGAAGGTGAACTATGGTGACTATAGCAGTTTTGTTCAGTTATGCCTTACTTTCATCTCAGAGAGATTTAGGTAAGGCTGAGAAGTCCAGGGACCCCAGTTCGGACCATTCCTTGCATTGAGATTAACCTCGCCACATTGGTTTGCCCACCATGCACCATAAGGAAAACACTTGCCAGGGTGATTGTCATTATCTTGGTCTGGTGTGCCGAATTTCATCCCTCGGATGGTCAATTTAGGATCTGTATTTCCATAAAACCCATTTCCGATGTTTCCTTCGTACGAAGTCATGTCGCATCGATACTTTTCTGTTTCGTCAGCTACCCGAAACCCACCATATTTGGCATATCCCTTTTGGCCGTTGGTTCGGTGCAGATCTATTCGAAGAATGCTGTCTGAAGAGGCGATTCGGTGCAAGTTGTCGTTTCCAAGCCAGAATTCTTTGGACAAGTCGCCAAAGCCTACTCGATACTCTACCCACGTTCGTTCAAAGCTTTGCTCGTATGGACGGGAACGTCTCTGAACCACAGTCCACCCACCTCCATCTGTGGTTTGGTCACAGTACACGTTTATGACCCCTTGACCATCTGGGTTGATTTTATAAATGCCATTCTGATTCGCTCCTAGGGTTTTCAGCTGCTGACAGCTTCTCACTGTACGTGGAACAAAGGAAACATAATATGAGACTTGTTGCTGAAAGGAAATTATCGCAAATTTAAGTGTTCTTCTCTTCTATTTAGTCACGAGTTACCCACCTCCGCCGTGCCTTACTTTCATCTCAGAGAGATTTAGGTAAGGCTGAGAAGTCCAGGGACCCCAGTTCGGACCATTCCTTGCATTGAGATTAACCTCGCCACATTGGTTTGCCCACCATGCACCATAAGGAAAACACTTGCCAGGGTGTTTGTCATTATCTTGGTCTGGTGTGCCGAATTTCATCCCTCGGATGTTCAATTTAGGATCTGTATTTCCATAAAACCCATTTCCGATGTTTCCTTCGTACGAAGTCATGCCGCATCGATACTTTTCTGTTTCGTCAGCTACCCGAAACCCACCATATTTGGCATATCCCTTTTGGCCGTTGGTTCGGTGCAGATCTATTCGAAGAATGCTGTCTGAAGAGGCGATTCGGTGCAAGTTGTCGTTTCCAAGCCAGAATTCTTTGGACAAGTCGCCAAAGCCTACTCGATACTCTACCCACGTTCGTTCAAAGCTTTGCTTGTATGGACGGGAACGTCTCTGAACCACAGTCCACCCACCTCCATCTGTGGTTTGGTCACAGTACACGTTTATGACCCCTTGACCATCTGGGTTGATTTTATAAATGCCATTGTGATTCGCTCCCAGGGTTTTCAGCTGCTGACAGCTTCTCACTGTACGTGGAACAAAGGAAACATAATATGAGACTTGTTGCTGAAAGGAAATTATCGCAAATTTAAGTGTTCTTCTCTTCTATTTAGTCACGAGTTACCCACCTCCGCTGTGCTCTTCGCAGTACACTCCTTTATAATCCTGTCGACATTCACACGTGAACATCCGGGGATTCCAACACGCGTCAACACATGTTCCACCATTTTGACATAAAGCCGAAGTGCAAACAGGTCTATTTCCTCCCTGGGTGAAAATGGGAAGAATAGTTAAACGCACTTTCATCCTTTTATGAGGCGAAACTTACCATGACAATACCTTCTTTGGTTGAAATATATTCTCGTTCTTAGAGCTAACGTTTCTCTTTCAAAATGAGTATAGAAGTTTGATATTTTCAAAGTTTTGTATATCGAGCAACGATTTTGTCTCTATTTGAGCAAATTATATTTACCCAGGATTTCCTTCTAGAAAATAGGCATTTTATGACATCAATTGTGTCAATAACAAAATTCTCGAGAATGAGTGGTTCTTTCATCAGTAAAGCAGCTCTTATTTGCGGCTTGATTGGCTGTTCCATGTCCAAATTGTTTGATTTCACCTGTCCAATTATAAGCACTTAGCAAATGTTAGCCATTCAAAATGGAAAAAATATCTGAAGTGCATTAAGCATTCGATATTTCTAACAACGTTTAGACTTCCGACTTGAACTTTTGCTATATGAATCAATTCATGTGCGCATGTTTAAATTAAAGTTTTCATTCCTGCTGGTAATTTCAAATCATTCGCCCGATTGTTGCCTGAATTGTACTCCCGCCCACTGAGTTCCACCACATTTCAACTTACTGTGTTTCGGGCTAGAAATGAAGGTCTTACAAACGCTGCTCTGTGTAAATGTTCAGTTTTAGGCAGCCATACCGTTCTCTGAGATAAAGGCATTTATTTGACCTCTCGATATGATTTTGACACCACCTTGCTCAGAAGATGGAATTTGAAAAACCGAAGACCTCAAAGGTTCCTGCGCTTGGTAGGTTGAGCACTGATGATTAAGTTTCTAACTGATCTGTAAATTTCTATGACTCACCATCTGTGTCGTTGGCTCGTAGTAAGTGATGCCTTTTCTTAAAACAAAGTCATTTGGGGCTGTCGCTTTTGATTGGTCACTTAATTCACATGTTTTCCCTGAGTTTGCATAATTAAACGATCGACAGCGTGCATCCCGTAGGCATTCCCACGTACAGTCTATCGGGCACGTGACAGTGTGCGTAGCAATCACGTGATTAATCAGAGTGTAGCCTGGAACAGATGCAAACATATCGTCATATTTGAGAGTTTTCTTCAAGATTTATCTTGCATGAAACAAAAAGAGAGAAATCTAGAGGACATTGACGACTTGATGAAAATCGTAAAAATTTATAAGATATTAGGAACACTTTGATTGATCGAAAGCCTATCGTTCATTGTACTAGTAAACCCATTTTTAAAAGCTAGAAGGCGCACTTTCTATCATTTTTTTTAGGCGTCAGTGCACTTGGAACGTTGGTAATCATGCACCCTCGGGTGGTGATTTACAACTTTTCCTTGTGTTCTCAGTAACATCCCGTGTGAGTTTTTGCGTCTGAAAACCGACAGGAAGTGAAAAGTATTGCTTAGATATTAACATATTTTTACATGGAATTATTTTTCTCATGTTTTGAAAATTACTCAGTCTCAGTTTTCGTAAATTTGCGGCCAGTCCTATCTTAAGCGATTCGCAACTCTTCGATGCACAACAAGCGAATACACAAGCCTTCAAAGTTGTTGGTTCTTAATTCGGGAAACCCCTATAATTAAGATTCCCACTCATCAGACGATTTTATACTTGGTCGCCGGTCTTCCTTTTCATCCTCATCGTCCTTGTTGGCCATGGTTTACTCTGGTTTGATCGTGTCTGCAACACGTTATCTTGAAGTAGTTCCGTTCGAAGGTGAATAAAATTCCATCATTATTAAAAGTGAACATACAAGTGAAAAGAGTTCATCTCTGAGATTTTCGAGCGAAGTTAACTTTATTCCATTACAGCTACAAGCGAAGCGATACCAGAGAGGAATGCACGACACGAAAAGCTGATTTTGACAGCTTGAAACTAACTCACGTTAAGAGAAAAATAACTGAATGCTTTGCTACTTTTTGCTAATACGAAACTGAATTTGCGTGTGTTGTAACTGATGAATTAAAGTCAGCGCACCACGAATACATTACCTTCAACCCCACTATTTAAATAGTCTCAACAAATCTTCTCGGTTCACATTGGTTCTGCGTCAAGTTTTCTATTCTTTGTGTAGTCTAAGATTTATTTTTGCCATTATTTACGGTGCGCATATTAAGTGTTTAAGTCAAGCTTTACCTTTTTCAGGATGTTCAGATCTTCTTAAACAAGACAACTGACCAGGGTTCGACGTTCCTGATAGACTTTGAGCTGAGGGAGTTGTAAACTTCCAGCACAGGAGAAACTGAGAATGGAAGAGTAAAGTGAGTCGCTGCATTGTTTTCAAGTTACATCCGCTCGGCTTTTAAATTCGTTCACGATCAAGATAAAGTCGTGATAAGGAAGCTTTGAACTCAATTAGTCGCTGGTGCGTCGACTTGAAAATGAATAATTTTCGAGTGAAAATAATTCTTATCCACAGTTTGTTTATGTGTTAGGTTCTAGAAACTTAGCAGGAGACTGGCGAATAACATTAATTATTAAAAGCTCAATCACTTTCAAAATTTGACACACTTATTGAGGATTCTCTTCTATTTCTGTTGAAGAAAGATTAAACGGTTTAAGGGGGGAAATAAGTGAGCATGAACATTGGTTCACTGACTGAACCAGTTCGTGCGCTAATTATAGCCTTCTTTTTCTTTTAAATTGCCATGGAATTAATTAATTTAACAGTTTTCTAGGTTTTTTGTTTCAGGAGTCTCACGAATAACATTCTTTATTAAAAGCTCGATCAATTTCAAGATTTACCATATTTATTAAGGATTCTCTTTCATTTCTATTGAAGAACGATTGAACAGTATAAGGAAGGAAAATAAGTGAGAAGATTTTCTGAGGAAGACATTGATAACATTTCAAGACATTGGTTCACTGACTGAACCAGTTCTTGCGGTAATTATAGCATTTTTTTCTTTTCAATTGCCATGGAATTAATTAACTTAACAGTTTCCGGGTTTTGTGGTGCTTTTATCCTGCAAATAATTACCCTTGGGATCAGTAGTCTAGAAATTAAAACTAGATAATAGTAGAATGTCTAGAATTTAAAACTAGATAATAGTAGAATGTCTAGAATTTAAAACTAGGTAAAGATAGAATTTAAAACCAGACAAAATTAAATAAAAACTGATTGCACCCATACTGAAAAAGAGAGACAAAACATGAAGGGTTTGCCCTGTCTGATCTTTATTGTGGGTTTAGTTTGCAGCTATATTAACGACCCTTGAACTCCCAAGATCTGATTGTTAATTCTCCCCTCTAGCTGCTACACATTTCCTTGTAAATAAGTCACGAGAATTTGGTGTAAAATCAAGACTATTAACTTCTACCCAATGAGTTTGAGTATTGTCATTACATGTTGGCTGGATAACGCGTGAATGTTACAGGGAGAAGTTACATGTTAGTCACTTATGGGAGTTAATGGGTAAAGCATATTGATGTAATATGCGTGTTATGTAACCTCTTATCAATCTCTGAAGAGTTTAAGTCCTGACCTTACTTTGTTTACTTTCAGGAATAACACTTTAGCAATCAGGTAAACATCATTCAAAACGAAAGCTTAGCGTACAAATTTTCCAAAGAAAAACTTCATATAAATAAAATTCCGCTTTTATTAAAATTTAAACAGAAAAATAGCGTGAGACAGCTCTCGTCTACATGAATTATTAAGTACTTACTAGGCGAGATATAGGAATAAATTTGAAGTCCTGATGCGAAAAAGTACTGACCCGCAATGTAAGAATTGTAGAGACTGTATGGGGTATTTATTTTAACCTTTAGACATAAATGTGCGAAGGCGCTAAAGAACGCACGTAACGTGAATTCAAGTCTACTTTAAATTAACATCAAAGCAAGCCAACAGGGGGCCAAAACATGAAGGTCCTTGGGAAACTTCGTTCCCAGCTCTATTAAGCATACTGAGGTTAAAAGTTAGTTTACCTAACTTTTAGGTAAACTAAAAGTAACCTCTTATCAATCTCTGAAGAGTTTAAGTCCTGACCTTACTTCAGGAATAACACTTAAGCGATCAGGTAAACATCCTTCAAAACGAAAGCTTAGCGTACAAATTTTCAAAAGAAAATCTACATATGAATAAAATTATGCTTTTATTTAAATTTGAGTCAGCTCTCGTCTACATAGATTATTAAGAACTTACCAGGCGAGATATACCTATAAATTTTGTCCTAATGCGATCAAACTGTGCTGACCCGCAGCGTAAGAATTGTTGAGACTGTTTGGGGTATTTATTTTTACCTTAACCTTGAGCTTTGTGCTTCTTCCTGCTTGGATTAGGGAATAACATTATTACGATCGGGCAAATATCGTAACAATACTGACCCGCAACGTACGAATTGCATAGTCTGTAAGGGGTATATTCTGTATATACATAAATACGCCAACGCGCTCAAGAACGCTCAACCTCAATTTGAATCCTTGTAAAAAAAAACCACTGATTGCTTCCAAACTGCAACAAAACTCCAAATCCTGAGCTTGGTGCTTTGTTCTGTTCGTTCAGGAATAACATTAACATCCCAACGATCAGCTAAACATCGCTTCATTCGCAAGCTTAGCATAAAAAACTTTCAAAGGAAAAAACTTACACATGAGTAAAAAATGTGCTTTTATATTAAATTTTGAAGAAATAAGGTGAGACAGCTCTCTACATAAATTATTTAGTATTTACCGAGTGAGACATATGTGCAAATGCCTTGTTCTAAAACGGAAGAAAACAACACCTGACTTTTGAACTCCATAATAAATTATTTACAGCGAGACGGACAAAGACCTTTGGAGTTAACACCGGGGAAGAGAAAAGACAAATCAAAGCGCCATAGAAGAATGATTAAAAATTTTATATCTCGTGTAGTTAGCCTTTTTTTAACTTACTTTTTTCAGTTCCTATTTAACTGAATCGGACGAACATGTAGAAACTAAGGTTTAAAACAGCGCAATCTTCTTGTCAACATCATTAAATCACGACCTAAGGAGGACTCCCTTCCAATCTCATTCATTTCATCTGAAACCGCCCCATCTAAAGGCAAGTGACATGGGTTTTCTGTTAAAACCATTGATTTAGTTTGTTGTTTTAATATGGTAGAACTTTGATGTTTCATTATTCTCGTGTTTGCTACTCAAGTTCGTGTAAATTTCAATCATGAACACTTCTTAAGCTCAAAATTTACAGTAAAATTTCATCAGATGATATTTGATGCCAAACAAGAGATTGTAAAGTTTCTATTCTCTTGTTGATGCCTATTCTTTGCTCTTTTGGGTTCAGTGTGGAGAAAATTCAATGGAGAGGATGTGCTAATAGGGAATTAGTTTTATTCTTCGGCAAATCTCCGGCTTTTATGTGGTGACTAATTACGTAATCAGCTGGTCGAGTGACATCACTTTCCCGCCAAAATCAGTGTTCCATGGCGAGAACGGGGAGGACTGTTCACAATAGTACTGGTAAAGGCAGATGCAGGGGAGACTGACGATTCAAACATATGATCAGTTTGTTTTCACGGATTTCCAGGATGAGTGCTTCCCCGTATTTCACCTCAAAAGGAAGACAAACACGCTCGGCGGCTAGAGAAGCAATCGCAGCTTTGTCAACGAACCAAAAGGAACCAAGAAGGCACATCAAAATCGAATACGAGAAGCGACATGAAGAAGACTCGTCAAGGGACGACAAGAAAACTGAAGATGTTGTGGCCAAAAAGCGTAAAAAAGACACTTCCACGGCACAAACACAAGGTTCAACTTGGCAACCTCTGAACTGGAGAGAGTAGCTTGTTAATATTCGTGAAATGAGAAAAACACGCGATGCCCCAGTTGATTCACAAGGATGCGAGAAGACAGCCGATGAGAGCCAGTCACCAGAGGTGAGAGAAGATGAAATTGGCAGTCCAGTGGGGTGGGGTAATGGAAGATCTGACACAGTGGTCTCCTCGGAGACAACTAAGCTGATTTATGAGAGGAAGAAACGTTTTGGGTAAAATTTCTGCACAGCCCCATACTGTTGTAAAACAAATCTGTTTTCCCAATGGCAATGTATTGTTTTTGTCATTGTTTTCTCTATCCAAGAACTGAATGCATGATGTAGAATGGGGCTGTGTAGAAATTTTACCACAATTGATTACATCCCACTTTTCATATGAATTATAAGATAAATTATGACAAATAGTTCAACAGCTATATGTTTAACCCTTTACACCCCAACATTATAGTATGCATAGTCTCCATACTGTTCTCCCCACATATCCTAAGGTAATGACAATGAGAATTTGTGTACCAATCAGGAGCTTCTTTGCTTGGTGATCATTTCCTTTTTTCTCATGACCTTGATGTGTGATTCAAGGGTTAGAGAGTAACGAGAAATTAGATGTTAGTCACTCTTAAGGGTTAAGGTGGGTGAGGATTAGTTTGCAGAGTATGGCAGTGCATGCACAAGTTCCCTTTTAAAAGTCAATTGCATGCCAAAATTGCTGCATTGTGTCAAGATCTGCCATACTCTGCAGCCTGGGATGAGGTTGAGGTCTCCTCATAAAAACCTGGACAACTGGGCCAGTCTTTTTTCAGATATCTTGCCTTACTGATGTTTATTTATCAAATTTTTTTGATGATTTTGGTTTCTTTTTTTCTCACTTGCAACAATAGAGATCTTCATGTATGAGCTTCTGGGATAAAAGTTGTAAGGATACACCCTTATCCTGGCAACCATTCTTAAATTTCTTATTTAACCCTTTAAACCCTAAGGATGGGTAACATCTAATTTCTCCCTACAATATCATACATTAAGGTCATGAGAATTAAGGAAATGGTCATCAGGATAGAAACCTCTCTATTGGCAAACAAATTCTCCTTGTCAACAGCTTAGGAAATGCATAAAGAACAGTGTGGAGAATATGCATACTGATGTTAGGGTGGAAAGGGTTAAAGAATAGCCAGTCAGAAATCTTACCTTGCATATAAGATTGAAATTTCCCTTCTAATCAGAAGACAAAGTGACTGCTGATTAAGCTTGCCACATCATCAGACACAACTGAAGAGTTTGCTCGGAAGAAAGAGGGTGCTTACAAATATAAGTATAATTCTACCATTGTCTTATCACAAACAGTGAAAACTATGCTGCATACTATCTGGAATTTACAGGGAGAATTTGTTTGACAATCAAGAGCTTCTAGAATTGGGCATCATTTACTTTATTCTCATGATTTTAAGTATTTGATGCAAGGGTGAAACTGTTAGGAGAAATTAGAAGTCAGTCACTCTAAGGGAAAAGAGGGTTAAGACAGTCCAGTATCAATGGTTCATCTCTCCTCACTATTGATGACAGTCCGATATCAAGTACTTATCTTCCTCATGCTGTTAAGTCAAACAAAAGACCAAGTTACTTTTGCTGCAATGGAAACTTAAAAAAAAAGTTAAAGGCTTACGGATTAACAATAGAGAACATTCTCACAACATCAACAAGCAAAATTGGTGAACTTATCTACCCTGTTGGCTTCTGGAAGGTGAGTAAATTTTTATGTTAGTTAGAAACTTGATTTTGACAGAATTTACCCACTAGGAAAGCAACTTGCAAAATAGTCTGAGGGCCTTCTCTCCCCTTATTGAATAAAAGTTGTGAACATTTTTTTAAAACTTACTAGTTGGACTTTTTAGAGTAGCTACTGATAATAATTTTTTCATCATCAGTCGTGTTAAACAGGGTTCAGGGGGGTCTTATATTAGCATGTTACTGAAACAAGGGGGTTATACAAAGTTGTTTTTTTATTTTCACTTGTCACTTTTTCACTTACAAAGAGGGGTAGATTGGTTTATATATCCTCCATAGAACCCTCTGAGTCCCCTTCCTCCCTCCCCCTTGTTGCAAAAATGACTTGCAGAAGTCTAAAATTAGAAAAAGAAGCAACAAAAATGGTTCAAAATCTATGACACTGAACTCCATTTTTAACTTGTAACCCTTTAACTTCCAGAGGTGATCAATATAAAACTTCTCCCAATAATATCCTTACATTATTCAGCAAAAAAGTAATGAGAATATTCAAATTTATCAGGTAGAAATTGTTGTCTTGATCTAACAACAACTTCTTGTAACTAATTTACAAGGATATGTGTAGCAGCTGGAAGGGAGAATTAGCAATCAGTTCTTGGGAGTTAAAGGGTTAAACTTATCCTACCAATGTGAACTATGGCTTGGTACAACATAGAGTATTTCCCAGGGTACTTATTATAATTATGCTTTGATTGTAGAAAAAGCTGATTACATCAAGAATGCCACTAAAATTTGTGCTGAGAGCTACAATGGAGACATTCCACCAACAGTAGAAGAGCTGGTCAAACTTCCAGGTGTGGGCCCAAAAATGGCGCATATTACCATGAATGTGGCTTGGGGACAAGTGACTGGAATTGGAGTTGATAGTCATGTTCATAGAATTTCTAACAGACTGATGGGTCAAAAAACCTACTTAACTGCTGGAAGAAACTAGAATTGCTGTAGAAAGCTGGCTTCCAAGGTAAAAGTGATTTTGAATGATACCAAGTTATTCAAATTCTCTTCACCAGGTGTTTTGCTCCTTCCCTGCCAAAGCCTTTTCACTTACTGCCGCATTTTAGAGACCCAGATATTGTGCAAGTTCCAAACAAATTTTACAAATATTCTGAAATAAACAGGCTTTTGGTCCTTCTTGACTTTTAAGGACTGTGATGGAAAAAGGAAATTTTTAAGGCCTTTGAGACCTAGATTGAAGGTTCTCTAGATGCATATAGCAAACCTTGACTATCATATGCTGTTTACCAATAACCAACAATTAAATAATTAGAGTGTATGGTTTCAGAGACTAAATTAGTGAATTATTTTTCTGTTTTCTCAGAGAGGAGTGGGATGAACTGAATGTATTGTTGGTTGGATTTGGTCAACAGACATGTGTTCCTGTAAGTCCAATGTGCGAGTTCCATCTTAACTCCAAGATCTGTCCTGAAAGTCGAAGAAGGAGCAGAGGAAAAGCTGAGGAGGAAACTAAGAAGAAACTTTCACCCAGAAAGGATGGAAAGGGGGAATTGAGTTTTACTTTAACTGAGGCTGTCCTGGTCTTTATCCTTGGGCCACGTTGTTCAAAGCTGGGTTCAGGTAACCTCATGTTTAGTGTGAAATCTGATATCAGATCTTAACCTTTTAACTCCCACAGGTGATTCACATGTAACTTCTCCTTACAATATCCATGCACTATCCAGCAAACAGGTAATGAGAATATTCATTTGTATCAGGTAGAAGTTGTTATCTTGATCTAATTCTCGCAACTAATTTACAAGGAAGTGTTAAGCAGGTAGAGGAGGAAATTACCCTTGCGAACTGAATTCCCAGTTTTCTGGGAATTCCTCGGAATTCCTAGGAATTCCTAGGAATTCTAAAAAATTCCCAATTATGCAAATGACCCTTGCAAACTGAATTCCCAGTTTTCTGGGAATTTCTGGGAATTCCTAGGAATTCCTAGGAATTCCTAGGAATTCTCAAAAATTCCCAACTATGCAAATTAACTCTGATTTAAAAAAGCTTGGAATTACTGGGAATTTCTGGGAAAGGAAGACTCCAGTTTTGTGAGGACTTGGAATCCCTAGGAATTCCTAGGAATTCTCAGCTTTACAAACTACCTATAATTTAAGAAGTGTGGAACTCTTGGGAATTTCTGGGAATTGAATTTGAGGCAATTTTAATACCCTGAGGTCCACATAAATTCTAAGAAATTCTCAATACCTTGAATGTGAAGGTTTTAAGAAAAAGAGTAATTTCAGAGGCTTAAAAATTTGGCTCAATAAAAGGTATGCTATACAAAACTTACCAAGAGATATACATACATGTACATGTTTATAACTTAAAGATCATGAAATTTATTACTCAAACTAAGTTTTAGTAAATCTTTACATTAACATGGATTTTCTCATGAACCAGCTGTCAGTTATGTTAAATGGAAATTGCCAACTTCCACAATAATTATCAATAATTACATTGTTATCTTACTTCCCTAACCTACATTACTGGTTGCCTTTGTTAGAAAACCTTGGAACAGTCAAGCTCAGTTGCCTCAAACGCTGTCAGAGACTTTTTATTGACAATACTTTTAGTAGAAATTTCATGCCTTAGACAAACAAATTCAACACCTAATTAATCTTTTTTTTTTTCATGATTGTTGTTGCTGCTTTTTTTTTCAGTTTTTTGCTCTATTTTCATGACTAATTGCTGTAATTTGTTTTGCTGTTTTAATTCTTACAAAACATTTTTGTAAGAGTTCCAATACTTGTGGATCATCCACACACTTTGCAAACATTTGGCATGCAGACAAGACAGAGGTAGTCAATGTACCCTTAGAGGAAAAACACCTTTTATATGACGTCTTCAATTTACTTTATTTGAAACTCTGATCTGAAAATATTTGTCAACAAGACTTGTTAGTAGTGAGAAGTACCAACCAAGTTTCCTTTCATAACTTAATTTCTTAAATGTCCCAATCACTGGATCTCCCAAAAAAATATTACATCTTTTTATTTTTGGTGCAAATTACAAGTCCTTCTTTATACAAAAATGAAAAGTGCTAGTCATACTTCAATAATAACAGCTCTTAAGTTTACTTGTTGTTCTTCTCTGTCTGTCAGCTATCAACAAAATTGTTTTATACTTCGGGCAGTGCATAACTATTTGTGGACCAGAGTTCCAACGCACCTCTGTAGTCGCATATAGCTACTCCTGTCTCTTGTACAAATGTTTCTCCTTTGTAAGACGCACTCTACT